TACAAACTCCAAAACACATTTCTAGCGTTAACTGAACTTCCAAAACAGAGCTACCCAGATCACTTAAATTACACAATTGAAAGCATGTGTGTATTGTTTGTGTATTTATAGACAAGCACTCATATTTATTCAAATAATTTAAAAAAAAAGTTCATTTACCTGTTACTACCACACACCAAATCCGGTTGTTGATACTTCCTGGCTTGTGTAGCCACTAGGTAACAAAAGCTCAACACTGCGCCCTAGCATCCTGGAGCACTTCTGTTGTCTTTTGTACGTGCTTCTGAGTTTTTACGTGTTTTGGAGTTTGTACGTGTTTTGGAGTTTGTACGTGCTTTGTCTCTAAGGGCCACCATAAATATACTTTATTTATTCACTCCACATAAAATGTAATAAATAAATCATATAATACAAAAAACAACTATTTACATTTTAAACTTTTAACTATTTAAATTTTCAGCTTTTTTCTTTTAAACAAATTTAACGTAAAACAACACAAAACACTGCAAACCACAACACAATTAAATATAAATTAAAATATTAAAACAAAAAGAAGATGCACATTCTCTGTCATATGGGCCTGCATGATTTCTGAATCCTTTATCATCTGCAACTGAAAATAGTGGATGATTACTATACCTTTCTAATGTGACGTTCTTGTCCCTTGTCCCTTCTCTCTGGCTCTGTTCCTGTGCTACTGCGAGTGTAACTAACGCCCCTCCCCCCCTCTGGCCAGCGCAAAGTACAGGCCGCGCGTGCCGAGTTTAGCGGAAAAAAGGGCGAGAGAGAGGGTGAGAAAAAGAAAAAAAAAAACCCTCATGGCTCCCAATAAGGGGCCGGCTCGCGTCGTTCACTTCAAAGAGTCGGCTCTAAGAGCCATTTCGTTCGCGAACGACCCATCACTATAGCACACAACAACCTGCATGTGGAAGCTAACAGAACTGAGCTTTGAAAAACCCTGTTTGTGTGTCACCAAATACCGTTTTAATATTTTTTTAGCCGAGAATGTAGTGGTTTAATCTTCATGTGTCTGGTCAGTTTGTCAAGATACAGCCTCTTTGCAAAAGTGCTTCGATGATTTCGGAGATGTCTGCCCAGTCTCACGGCAAAGCGTGGGATAGACCCGCTCGCCTCGCAAGCAATCCCACCGACAAAGCGCAGGCCCCGGTACACAGCTGTAGTAACCCCCGCTGACTTCTTTTACTGAGGTTATATTTATCGGTGTTTTATTTCCTGAAGTTCTTATGTGTCCTACGTGTTTCAGTCGCCAATTCTGAATTATGACTAACATTAAAAACATGTTTAAGGAGGAGAGAGAGCAAAAAAATCTGTTTAACATCTGATCTTTGGGTTTTTGTTCAGTAATCAGCCTGACCTGTGTATAAACGCATAAAAGAGATAACGTTGGTGTTTCCGTCATGTAGTAACTGCTGGCTTTAACTGTACAAAGGTTGTTCGACACTATGAAACACATACAGACTTCATGATGTTCGGCTAATATTTTTATTGTGAATATTAATCATGAGGGTAAACGGCCCTGTACACCACGGAGCGAGGTCAGCATATCCACGATATCCTCAGCTCCATGAGTTAACACAGAGTTTCCCAGCTGACTATCTAACTGCCAACTATTCCAGAGACATGAAAATATACAGCATAAAGAAAAGTGTAAGAGACCCAGCAGCAGATTAGAATAACAGTTATAGATTTAATAAATCACCAAATGAATCCAAGAAACGAGCAAACCTGTTCCGACAATTTGAGTTTGTATTCCCTCAGCTGCAGACTCGCTGCTGTTTAAATGTTTGAAAAGGAAGATTAGATATAAACAAACGTCAAACATAGACTCAGTCTGCCTTCACATTTGATATGAGGCCAGCACGTATAGTGGCTGTGTCCTGTTTTAAGATCATACATGTAAAATTGTTGTCTGACCTCCGTCGATCCAGCCGCTCAGAGTCCGTGGTTACCATGGTTACTGCATAAGCAGCTATAATGTTAACAGCTGGCACTGAGGAAACCTACCGGCAGCATGGGTGTTTATGTTTTTCATTGCAAAAGAACTGTCTGAATGGTCAACTGAAGTTAACTTGGATAAATTATAGTTAAGGAATATCACAGATAACGCCATACGTGAGCTGTGCGACTGTTCACCACTACACTGAAATCAGCAGGCTATTACTGAAATACACGTGCTATATCATAAACTATGATATAAACAGGGAGGTCCTATTAACATGTTTAGTTTTAAAGGACACCTTCCTGCCTTTAGTCTCATTCATGAGCAGTATTAGTTTTCTTCTAACATCCAGAAGTCTGCACCATGTGTTTCATAGTTTGTAACAAGCCTTTGACAGGTAAACATAACATGACCGAAAAAGCAAAAAAAAAAAAAAAGAGAGAGAGAGAGAGAGAGAGAGAGAGAGAGAGAGAGAGAGAGAGAGAGAGTTGACATAAGAAGAGAAAATTCTCTCAATTATGGAGACAGGCAAATGGTTCATTTATGTTTGATGTGTGTTTATTCCTCCCTAAATATCGTAGGTGAAGTTTGCCATGCACGTCAGATTTTCCTGCGCATTTTTATACCTCTGCCAACAGACAGAAAAAAAAATCACATTCTAACAGACAGCTGGTGCTTAGAATACAGTTGAATAACTATTAAAAAACAGATGATATTTAGATGATAGTTCAGTCTAACACATGTGCCAGTGAACCATTAAACGTCTGTGAAACTATGCAGTTATGAAACGTAACTTTAACCTCAGCCAAACCGATTTGCTCAGTTGTAAATAAAACAGCGAAGTAAACGTGACCCGACAGACAGAACCTGAGTGAATGAAGTCCAGCGTTTAACCACTGAGAGCTAAAACTCAGCTGAGGTTTCAAAGCTGTGTGCCGGTGATTGGACATCAGCCGCTGAAAAAGCTGGTTCGCCTATAAAGTGCTCTGTAAGGAAACAAGCTCCAGCAGCTCTGCGCTCGGGGAAAACACTATATTTACTTATCTTGTGCAGAAAAATGCGCTGACATTGCGTTATATCGAGCACCGGCTGCCCGGTTAAACTGTGACTATCACCAGGTAACTAGGCGTGTTTCTTGAATTAGCAGCAGGTGTTAAACAGCTGACAGATGAGGAGGAGGATGCATGCAGGTAAACTGAGGGTCTGTTGAGCTGATCGCTGGTTTCGTGAGAAAAATGTCAGCTCGTTCTTTATGTTACAGAAGCACAGAGACACAAGACCAGGCGGAAAGAGACGATCGTTCGGTGAAAATGAGAATCTGCGAATGCAACATGTGGAACACGGAGAGTGGAATATGTAAACAAACCGGTTAACGTAACCCCCTCGGTGCACTCTGCATGCTAATTGTTAGCAGAGCTAGTGAAATCTCTGAAAACATCTGAGCACTTTTGCAAACATGTTCTATGTTGACAACCTGACCAGACATACGTCGCGACATTCGCGGCTAAAACACTGTTAAAAGTGTAGCTGGTGACAGAAAAACGGGGTATTTTAAAACTACACCACCACCATTGCTGCCTGTGATTTGATCTGCATTCGGGGATACCTGGCTGCCCCAAGTCTACACAAGCAATCGATTATCTAGGATCGACCTGTTTTGACTTACTTTGCACTGCAACCAATCAAATGTTAGAGAAGCTGCATGGGCCGCGTTAACCCCGCCCCCTGAGTTTGATGGGTGAGGCTGACAGATAAAATTATTTCATGATGAGAGCCAGGCGCCATGACTGCCAAAATGAAATAAATAAATATATCATTAAATAATTAATTAAATGTGTCAATAATTAATTAAATGTGTCAATAATTAATTAAAATGTGAAATACATAAATAATTAATTTAATGTGTCAACAATTAATTAATTACATGTGTCATAACTATTTATTTAATTAATTAATTCCAATTTTAATTAATTATTGACACATTTAATTAATTATTTAATGGTGTATTTAATTAATTCATTATGGCAGTCCTGGCGTTCCATACTCAACCAGTCTCTGTGTCATTAAAAGGAAAATCCTCGCGCCCTGTGGGAGTCCGTGCTTTGCTAGAAGATGACTGAAAGGAGGTTAGATGCCTGTGCATAAGGGGAGAAGTGGGGCTCAAACAAAAATCCGAAAGCTTAACTTCCAGCCCCCCCGACACTCTGCTGAACACTCCCAGTGTGTCACAGGGAGGGAGAGAAAAAGGGAGTTATATAATGACCCTTGATGCAGGGTTCAGTTCACGCGGGGGGAGGGGGACTGGAGTAGTGGTCGCACTACATACAGTTCCTGCTGTCAGCTTGAATTTGTTACAAGGCAAAGGGTGCACCAGGATTTCAGGCACAACACACACACACACACACACACTTTACTGATTAGCGTGAGAGCCACCAGCAGCACTGATTGATGCTAGTCCTCTGTCACACACACACATACATTCGATTGCAAGAAAAGCACAGTGGCAATTAAATTATAAGAATTGAGTGAGAAAGCTGAGCTCGAGTTACAGTAGAAGAAGCATTTGTAGTGCTGTGGTGTTATGCAGACCATGGATCCGCATGATGTACACAAAAACTCACGACTGCTCTTCCTCCTGGCAAACACACACATACACACACACAATCCTCCCATTGTTTAGGAAATCCCCCTTGTGCTCACTCAATTAGCACCCCCTTCGCCATACCAGCACCATGAGCACACACACACACACACACACTCCATTTGTTCTCTCAGTCACTCCATCCCCAAGCTGCCATAGCAACCCTCACAGCGAGGTTGCCCACATCAATGGGACTCAATCCCCAGACTCATCCGGCAGCCTGTGTTTCTGATAAAACCCCCCCCCCCCAAATCTCAGGCATGAGGCAGCAGCATTTCCCCAGAGTCCTTGTGGAGGTAAACACTTTCGGGCAGCATCTGCTCACTCACTCACCGTGTGTCACAGACACCTGTGCAGCTTGAGTGCGCAAGGCACCCAAATCACCACGACCACAACAGCTGATAATTCAGGTTTTTAATAGAAGCCCCTCCCCAGCAACAAAAATGCTAGAGCTTCTCATCCAAATCTTTTTACAATTACACACATTGTATTCATCTGCTAGGCCCTAGCATGTTGGAATGACACGTGCCATTCAGAAACTGAATGAAGTACAAGTCATGTCACACACGTGAACTGGTGTTAACTTTAGGGTTAGGCACAGTATTACACTTTGCAAGAGAACAGATCATCACACGGGGGAGCAGAACAAGTCAGGAAAGACATTCACAGTTTAGATCTAGTTAGTCATTTGGGCTTCATCATAATGCGATCAGAATTTTAAACTATGTCATCAGAGTTCATCAAGTCGAGATCAAGACTCGAGTCAAAACATTATCATATGACATCCCCATGGTTGTACTCCACACTAACAAAGAATAATCATGAGACATGGACTGGTTTGAACCCCTTATGACCTCACTCACAGCAACAAAATAACAGATCAAAGCATCAAACAGTACAAAATTAGACATTTTTGTGTTTATTACAGTTAAATCTAATACTTTTTCCAGCTCTTGTTGCCAATCGAGAGGTATATAATCGACTAATTGGAAGCATAGAATTAACATTAAACACTTAACTCCAGTCAAATTCCCACATACAGAAAAACAAACACATACAATTCGTTTTTTGTTCTAGTCATATTTAAATCTCTGAATACAGCCACTGAATATAATTTGTTGATCACACAGTAATTAATTTAAAAAAATAAAATAAAAAAAAGGCATCATGTATGACTTTACGAGGTCAACGTTCAGATTTAAAATTGGGAGGCAGCTGCTGCAAAAGTGAAACATTAAGCTGCACATATCGGATCTGGGCTTCCTTTTGTGCAGTCTGAGGTGTCATGAACAGAGGCTCATGTGTGAATCTGGGATGAACGCTTTTAACTCTATAGCTGCTGATGAACATTTGGCATGCGGTTGCTATGGCGACCTCATGATTTTTAAAAAGCTGTAAAAGGTGGTCGTCAGCACCCCCATGTGGGAAAATGTAAAAATCTTATTTCCGCTGCGGAAAAAAAAAAAAAAATACCGACTGAAATATGAAGCAGCACCAGTGACGTCCATCCTGGAATGAATGAAATGTGCTTGTAAACCAGCTGCTGTGTGCAAGAAGAGGAAATCAAGTCAGGGAACAGCAACTCCTGTTTGTGGACAGCAATTCAAGGCTGTGGCTGGGGAATCCTTTGGCTTGGATCTGACCTGCACTGCTGTGTGAAGTTAGTACAAGCGTGCCTTCAACTGTATTAATCAGTGCTGCAGCATCATGTCAGTGCATTTGTCCTTTAGCTTTACATTAGAGGGGCACTTGGAGAGTGTATCCTATGACAAGATCAATGCCCTGCTGCGGTCCAGAACGGTTTCCTTCCTTAACTGTGCTACACCTCTTCAACAAGTTTCTAAAAACGAAGCTAGGTAGATTATGTGCAAACTTGCAGACAAACAAGTGGCTGTGAAAACAGATCTTGGAAAAATAAAAAAAATCTGCTGTCATGTTCCCTAGGACGACTAAGTAACTGCTGGCAAAGATGTTTTCCTTACATAAAAAAAAAAAATTAACAAAAATCATCGGTTTACTTTCAAATGTCATCAGATCTGACATCCCCATCCTTCATGGTCACCCCATGGACTCTCCGTGTGTGTGCTTCAAGTGTCAAGGCTTGTTGTACCAATTCATGGAGCGCCGCAGAGCTCTCTCCCAGCTCTGGAGGATGGGGACGTACTCCCCGTTTGGGCTGCCGGTGCACTCCTTGTCTGCACATCGGGGCAAAAACTCATCGTCTGCACTCTGCAGCTTTTTCAGCTCCTCGCGCGTCCTCCAGAAACCTGCGTACAACACCGACACAAATATAAATGCAGAATCTAGCACCGCATAAGGTACGCTGTGGTGCAAAAAGAGCAATAAATGCTGGACAAATGATCTAATTATCTACATCACTGTGGACTGATCCACTTAAAAGCCATGTTCCTCATGATTCATTTTATTTTTCAGTCGTCAGCACCACCTGCTTCTGGCCTGTTATGAAACAGCCACAACAAATCAGCCATATTTTCTGGTTGATTTGATTAAATGCTGACTAATATATAACAATCTAATTACATAATGTGAATAATTAAATGGAAAACAGGTTATGTAACAAACAGCAAGGCTTTTTGCCTCTCCTGCCAGAGTCAGCAGGAATAAAAATAGGACTTTTGATCAAAACTTTTCAAATGGGCCTGTCAGGAGCTGTAATATTTTTAGAGAAAAACCACAGTGAAAGTAAGACCAGAGTGTCAGAGCATGATAGATCACTCCGTTTGTGCTCAACGTCATTTCTAAGACATCTTATCTTCACACGGCCGTGAATCAAATGCTCCTTCAAAACATTCGACTACAGTGCAAATATTTGTTCTGTTTAAATATTTATTTCCATACCGACTTCAAGTCCAGCGACAAAAGCAGCCCCGAGACATGACATCTCATGGTGCTGGGGTCTGGCTATCTTTTTACCAAACAAGTCTGAGGTCAGCTGCATGACGAAGTCATTGGAGGAAACACCACCGTCCACCCTGAGAGAGAAAGGAGCCGAGCACTCAATTAGATTTTCCTTCACTTTACTGTAACAGTATCAGGGAAACATAAAGCCATAATGCAAAGTCAATAAAGAAATGAACTGCATGAGTGGAGGCAGAGAACACAAGAGTCTATTCTGTTACGCCCAGTTTGTTGGCTAAAAGACAAACACTAAAATAAAATATCAAACGGGTGTCTGGTCTCTGTATGAGTTAAATGCCAACACACAGAGTTTTTATTGCATGTACAGTTACTACCTTCAGACTGACGAGTTAAAAGAAGTACTGTACCTTATCTTTGTGATGGGAATACAGGTTTCTCTTAACATTGTCTCATACAGCTGCTTATTTCTGGAACAGAATGTAAATAAGCATGAATGAGAATAAACAGTAAAGCAATAAGGAAACTAGAGTGCTGTGCAATAGTCTTGAGCCACCCTCATTTCACTACGTTGGACTCGAAAACTAGGAAATTGGTGCAATCATACATGAGAATACAGCTCTTAAGGCAAAAGAAGAGTTTGTACAATCCCAGCGTGATTGCAAGTCTGACCACCGTTAATCTTCAACACAATTTTTAATCTCTTTAAACACTCTTCAGGAACAGTTCTCCACAAATAAATAAATGGTAAATGGCCTGTATTTATATAGCACTTTACTAGTCCCTAAGGACCCCAAAGTGCTTTACATATCCAGTCATCCACCCATTCACACACCCATTCACACACAGGTGATGGCAAGCTACATGTAGCCACAGCCACCCTGGGGCAGACTGACAGAGGCGAGGCTGCCGGACGCTGGCGCCACCGAGCCCTCTGACCACCACCAGTAGGCAACGGGTGAAGTGTCTTGCCCAAGGACACAACGACCGAGACTGTCCAAGCCGGGGCTCGAACCGGCAACCTTCCGATTACAAGGCGAACTCCCAAGTGTTAAGGATCATTATCAGGTTAGAAAATGAAGCCACTGAGGCTTTCCAGATTTTTAAAGATCTCTAATTCCACCGTCTGAAATTCAGCCCCAAACCATGACACAGTCTCTCCTGTGTTTTACAGATGGCTGTGGACACTCACCTCTCTCCTGAACTCCTTCATACATTTGGAACCAAAAATGCCAAATTTGCATTCATCACTCCATCGGACCTGTTGTGGCTGATTTTTACTCCAGTACTTGTGTAATTTGGCCTACCTCAGCCTTTCTTCCTTTTTGAAAATACATTTTTTTCTCATGTCTTCAGGACATGACTTTCAGATACACTGTATCTGCTAGATAGTTATTAGGTCGAACATTTCTTATTCTGTCCTCCACTTATCCAGTTTCCTCAACATTTCTAAGGATATACTTGCGCACTCTTCCAAAATATGCCAAGGTTTCAGCTAATAGCTCTTTGGGAGTTATTGTGTGGTGCAAAAATATTTGATGCCAATATAAGAAGTGTGTTATTTAACATTTTCATAGATTCTTCTACAGAAATTGAAAAAGATTACGCGTTTTTGTGACCAGCTGCTACTAACAAAGTTGTCTGCTATGAGTAGACACAACACTGGTTCCTCCCTTGAGTTAGGTGCCTTTTTAATACTTGAATGATTTACAGATCAGTTTTAAGCAGCTTACCAAAAACTCCAAACACGGCTAAAAATGGTCAGGTACAAGGACAGGACTGAGAAGGAGTTAAAAAAAAACAAAGTTTTTCAATAAAAAAAACTTTGAAACTTGCTCTTTGCTCTTGGAAGCAAAAATATTTACCAAATGAGTGATAGCTCAAGACTTTTGCACAGTATTTAATCTTTTGAAAATGCCTCACCTGAAGGCGACTGACTCCAGAATGGCCCGGACCAGGTGGCGTTTAGTAGTAGATGGTTTTAGGCCCATGAAGGAAGCGCATGCTTTTGGATCATTCAGAGGAGCCTTTAATAAAACATTTACACCAACAGTTAATAAACTGCAGTCGTTAAAGAAAGGATGAAAGAAAAAAAAGGTCTCTAAACGGTCTTTGTGTCTTAAAGTCAAGCTCAAAAATTGTTGGTCAGCAGACGTGCTGTTACGCAGCTCCTGCAGGGTTACTGTCGAAAAGTAGCTTTTGCGTGTCTAACTATAAGCATTTAGCATCCAGCATAAACACTTACAAGGGCGAGTTCACAATGGAGGGCAGCAAAAAAAAAAAAGAGACACCATGTTACAGAGAGATAAATAAAATAAAGAAATGAATGAGTGTTGAGTTAAAAGAAACTACACGTAATAAGAAACACACGCTTACAGCAGAAAAACAAAAAGTGCACAGACCTGCAGGCCGCTGAAGGAAGGAACAAAACACACTCCATCTGAATCACTGACACTGTAAGCCATGGTGCTGGTCTCTCTGACATCAGAGAAGAGCTCTGAAACAGCACACACACAGGTGTCACACACAATCCCTGGTTCTGTCCGTCACTGCCACGCTCAGTGTTCAGTGTGGAAGAGGAAAACCGACTATGATTTAAAGATGGATGAATTAGTCCTGCGTGGTGTTTTCACACTATACGCCTCACTGCTCACCCAGCTTCTGTGCCCATTTGATGGCGGTCCCTGTGTCGGCTGCATTTCCCTCTGCCAGGTACACCACCTCTGAGCCGATCTTCCACCCCACAAGAGGATACAGACCTGTAAAGAGAGGTCAGAGGTTATGATTAGCCTGAATGGGTGAATATGAATGTATGTGTGGACTCTTTACCTGCTACAGATGCATGTGGTTTGCTCCCAGTGTTTATGTCCATGAAGGTGCCTGTTCCCATGGTGATCTTCACATCACCAACATCAAAGCAGCACTCTCCAAACATGGCTGCCTGTTGGTCTGCCATCTAAGGCACATGGACAGAGGAGATAATTGAAAGTTTTGATGACAATGAATGTTGAAAACTTGCAATTAAGGGAAGTGAAGTAGAGTGCAGGGATGACGTGCAATCAGCTGCTGATTAGCTAACTTTGCAAGACATCTTTGTTACAACATAATGGTGGTGAAATCCCAGGTTTAAGCAGTTAGAGGTTTGCAATGCAGACAAGAGATTGTGTGACGGTCAGATGTTGACTCACCACTGACATGATAGGAATGGGCACGCCAAAGATGGATGGGTCTGTGGAACCAAAGTCATGGCTGTGGTGTCAAGACAAGAAACCGGAGAAATCAGACACAATGCATCACGATGCTTCCTTCTCTCACCCCAAGCGGTCGTGGCTGGGGCCGCCCCTCCCTGAGCCTGGCTCTGCTGGAGGTTTCTTCTCGTTAGAAAGGAGTTTTCCCTTCCCACTGTCTCTAAAATGCTTGCTCATGGGGGGAGGGGTCATATGATTGCTGGGGTTTTCTCTCTATGTACTATTGTAGGGTCTACCTTACAATATAAATCACCCTGAGGTGACTGTTGTTGTGATTTAAATCAAATTGAATTGAATCGTCTCACAGTCTCTTTCAGAGCTTTACTCTAAAGGCAAACTGAAGGCAAAGGACATAACGAGATGCTCCGCTTTATGCTTACTGTATATTGCAAAGGTTGGGTTTAATTGAATCTTTAATTATAACTCTCTAACTAACATATTGAAGTGACTGTTGACAGTGTACATTTTCAGTCAGTGCATTTGAACTTTAATGTATACATTTTTCTTATGCACACACATGTTTGCTTCCACCAGCTGCAAGAAAGCAAACATGTGAGTCACATTAAATGTGATCATGTGGGATTGTGGCACACACTCAGTGTTTCTCAAGAAAAATCTTTTAGAGAAAAAACAGAAACAAAATGAACACAATCTCTTTTCCCCCACTTCCTTGCATATTATAACACTGTGCATGGATAAAAGTTGGGACCCATTGATCTATATATAAATAGGTATAAAAAGAAGGACTCTTGGATTCTCTGCCAAAGTCAGCGTCTCATATGGAACCGCATTAAACATTGATAGGTTCTTCCTTTATTGATACTCACTGTCTCCACAAAGTTTCATTAAATTTAGACAGATAGACTTTGAATCAAACAAAAAGACAAACAATAACAAAAACAAGCATGTCTCAGACTCAGCAGGGACATAAAAAAAACATAGAATACAAAGACAAATGTGATCATGTTTATTAATATGAGCGACTTTTGCTAAAACATGAACAAACTGGAAGCGAATGGTCCACTCACCCTGTATTTTCTACTTTGGGGAAAATAGAGAGCGGCAGGGACACAAGAGAGGAAAGAAACCCACTCCAGCACATCTATGAAACAAGTCACATTACAGGGATATAAAAAGACAAACTCAAACCAACCACAGAATAAACAGTAAATAATTATGACTGACACCAGACCTGATAAGAGTCGAAAATCCCTGTTGAACTGGCATTAGAGTAATCGGTGGCATGCAGGTGTCCTGAAACAGATTAGGAGATGCATATAATCATTCTCTAAAAGAAAGGTTAATTAACAAAAAACTCGAGCTGCTTGTCACTTTTCCAAATCTCCTCCCCAGGAGTGAGCCGAAACATTCCTGAGGAATTTCAGCCAATCAGTGACTCAGTAGGATTGATAAGACAAAGGACATTCTGTCTGGGGATTATTATCCTGTTAGGAACTGTACAAAAATCACAGTTCACTGCACAAATCTTATATTACTGAACTTGTTTTAGATGTCACTGAGTTCAAGAGACTAAACGAGAATAGCTAGGAAAAAAACTCTCCCCTGAAAGGAAAGAAAAAAAGAAAAAGTGTTTTTAGTCTAGGCTTACTCGATGTCTGGGAAACCAAGCTAAACAATGCAAACCCACCTTTTGTGAGTTTAAACAGGAGCCAGCTGTCTATTGTCCCAAAGCAGCAGTAACCTTCATCTATTGCTTGACAAACCTGAAAGAAGAAAGAAACACGACGAGGCTGAAAACAGAAGAATGCTGTGGGCCATCTAATACTGAGGCTTCTCCTTTCCTTTTTTATTAATCAACTCTTTGGTTCATAAGGGCATCAACACAAGTTTATTTTTACATAAATAAAAACCTCCCTCCTGGGGCGTAGCATGTTTGTGTTTCTTAAGAGGGACAAGCTGGGAGCGAGGGTTCTGCGCAGCATCTCAAGCGTAATTTATGTTCCTGTAAATGTGTCAGTCTGCGTACACGTTTCTGTTCGGACAGCGAGACCTGAAGGCTTTTCTCCCATCACAGCCGTGCTCCCATGCAGTCCTCCAAAATCCTAACTGCATGTCGCTGGATGCTGAATGCTGATTGGTTGATAAGTGGGCCAGAGCAGGAAAGCGGAGTACACCGGGAACGGGAGAAGCATAAAAAAAACAACCAAACGAACAAACACACAAAAAAACGTAAAAAAAATAATAATACAGAAGCTTTGAGAGTGGCTGCAGTGGACTCTTTGTTTGACTTCAGCGCTTTGTATATTTGAACCTTGCTCTTCCCTGCAGGTGGCTGACGGACCACAAACAGCACACAGCAATCAGCCCACAAACCAGTTATACCACATACTTTGTATTCTGCCTCCATTAACAACAGAGTTCTCTGTAGGTAGACGGGCCATCCCCTGATTGGCGGTGGACTGTGAACATGCAAAGCATAAATTCCGCTTTAGCCGAGCTGTCCTCGGACTTTACTCTTCTGGACAGAAATCTCTGATGTGTCCTCAATCTGCTGGAGCCACTCATCCACTTTTAGGGTTATAGCTCCTGATGCTGGTGTTACCACTGGGACCATTTTGAACTGTATCTTCCACATCTGGTCCAGTTGTTCCTTCAGCCACTGGCGCTTCTCTGTTTATCTCAGAATCTGGTGCTTAGGGTTTGCTCTTCTGCCACCATTATCAGAGCTTCTGTGCTGTCCTTAAAGCCAACATTTTTCTAGCCCCTGCTGGGATTTCTTGATGTCAGCCACTTCCTCTACCTGTCGATGGTACATCCCAATGCAGGCTTTTGGTCTTTTACAATGCTTCCTCCTCCTTTCCCTCACCATCATCTTTCTTCAACTGCCTGAAGTATTCTTCATCTCAAGTGGAACCATCTTCCTAACCTACTCATGCATCCTCCGTCACCGTCTAATCCTTGCCTCACCTCTTTCCGCTACTTGCACAGCCTCAGGGTGTCAGATTTTGGGTGGAGACCTCCGTCCATTGTGAGCAGGTTTTTTGTGTCTTGACATATCAGTGTATCTCCTCCTGTTTAATATTACAGTTGAGTATTAAATGACTTGTCTTAGATCTTCATTGTGGAACCCAAAGGACTGTGGGTACTTGTAGCTGTTCTATGTGCTTGTCATCCTGCATTCTCGAAAACCTTTTGGTGTGGATCACCTTCCCACACTCTGACACCACTGAGTCACACTTATTCAGGCTGAGGATCAATGAGTCAATGTCTCACTCATGCCGGTTGTACAGCTTGATGTTATCCATGCACACACCTTCCCACACTCTGACACCACTGAGTCACACTTATTCAGGCTGAGGATCAATGAGTCAATGTCTCACTCATGCCGGTTGTACAGCTTGATGTTATCCATGCACAGGAGATAGCTGATTATTACTCCACAAATCTACTTTGAATATGTATTAAAAATACATACAGACTAGTGGTTGGAAAATCCTTTACAAATGGTAAATAGTTATTTATTCTCTTATACTGATGGTAACAACTGTAAGAGTCTAACCCTAACCCTTAATAGTAATGAATGATTTGTTATATTCCGTCAAATATGAGGGAACTTCAACTTTTCAGTGCATTCACTGTTCCTGAATTCATCGTTTAGTTGTGATTTTTCACACATAAACGAATTGTTTGATTGCAGTTAAACAGTGGCCCACATTGTTCCCAGTTGTTATGCATGCAAATGTGTGCAACTGTGTTACTCTACTTTTGAGCACAAGCCCGTTAGTTAACCCTTCCACGCACCTGTTTGTAATGTGTCAAGACCCAGACGAGGCGAAAAGTGACATGCTGAGTGGAGAAGACGATGAGACTTGCTGCAAGCAACCGTTTCTGCCTGGTAACAAAGTAGAGGACCTTCATTGCACCATGGATTGCCTGAGATTTTTGTAAAAACAAACAAACAAATAAGATGGATAAACAAAAAGCACATCCAGCACTGGTTGAAAAGAATTTTGAGTTTACATGGGAACATCATATTTATTTGAAATTTTTTCCTGCCTTTGCCTTTTAAAGTCCAATCTATTGACTAAAGATCATGAAAGATAGAAATGGGGAGCAGCCTCACTTTCATGGTGCAGGATCTGTTCCAGGACTTCACCAGGTCTGCAGCTCTCTGATCCTGCCAGCTGATGAAGTTGTGGAAAGGAACCCCAGTTCTCCTGTCAAAGCGGAGGAGGAGATGAGAAACAAGCTAGAGGAAAAGCCAGCGTAGGGCATGAATTATTCAAAGATGTGCTAAAGTAGGTATGTGAGCAAAGCTATTCACCTGTCCCATGTTGTGAAGGTACTGCGCTGAGTGGAGATCCCAAGGGCCTCTACCTGGTGCATTTGTATTCCTGCATCTATATGATCAGGACAGCAACACGAGCACAAAACGGTTAGGCAGAGAAAAAGAAGGACAAGGATCGTTTTTCTAAAAAAATTCCAACATAAGACATTCACATTGCAGTAAATGATTAAAAAAAAAGAACAATTAAAAAAAATCTAAAAGCCAAGTGTGCTTAACTGGAATATCAGTATATGATCTTTCGCACGCAATTTTCTCTTTGACAACAAAACTAAATGAACTATGGGAAACTTCGGTAGTGTTTTATCCAGAGGTGGGACCAAGTCATTGTTTTGCAAGTCTCAAGTAAGTCTCAAGTCTTTATCCTCAAGTCTCAAGTCAAGTCTCAAGTAATGTCAGGCAAGTCAGAGTCGAGTCTCAAGTCACTGGTGTAAAAGTCCGAGTCAAGTCACAAGTCTGAAACTTTGAATTTCAAGTCCTTTCGAGTCTTTAAAAAAAAAGAAAGAAAAAATAATGTTGCAGTTATGCTAAATGTAAATATTAGACCATGTAATTTTAAAATCTGTGTTTTTCTCAACACATGACAAAATAGTGAACTTAGAAAATATACACAAATTGTGAAATTGCACCTCTATAAAATGCAGCTCAATTAAACCTAGCTCCAAGAATAATTTTCACCGACAGTTCTGAGATAAGCTGCATGTTATTCTTGGATGCGGTTGTAGGACCGGCTTTAAAATCGCATGACAAAAATATCATACACATTAAAAAAAACTGCATCACCAACGTAGCCTGGACAACATTTGCTAGTTAGATGAAGTCAGCTATCTCATCGTAGCATATTTATATGCATATTTATAATCATACGGTTCTTGGAGTGAGTGCATACACTCATGAAGTTTAGTAACTTCCGGTCACTGCAACAAGCCCAGGTACAGTTTACCGACGGATGGGTGCAGGACCTTGAAATGCACCGTGTAGAACGAAAGACCATCGTACGTATCATAAGTTTACCAGTCTCACAAATCGTCGTCATAAATATACATTCCTTAACCGTTTATTAATAGGACCTTTGAGCTCAACGGTAATTAATTAGTAGTGGAAATAATTTCTGGTACCCATCACAGAAATGTAGCAGTGACAATAATATTGTATGCTGTAATCGTACTGGACAATTAGTGATACAAAAAACCTGTTTTATCCTGTGAATAAAAGTATATGTTTTTGTCAATGTACCATAATAACAGAAGCGAAACGCAATATTGTGTCAGGACAATTCACTATTTATGCACAATAAATAAAGGAGCATAGCGCGACAATTTCTGTTCAGCGCCAGACTTGCTTGTAACCTATATCACCAATTATGTTATGAAAATGACGCATTAACTACTAAAAAACACTGACCTTCGTGTAAATGCTTGGAGCAGACTAACCTGTGAGCTGGAGGGTTCTGGGACGTTATATTTGATCTTTGAATGGCTGCAATCCAGTCGCGTCTTTGTTACTTCGGAAACATGGCTTGAACAATTTCTCTTCAACGACATAATCCGATAACAACCGATCTCTTTACCCGTCGGCTTCTCGTGGCTGTCATGCGACCGGCTATTGCAGTTAATAATACAACGGCTTCTTGACATTTTTGTGTTTCTTTTTATCGCTGTATAACTGATTTCAATTGAAAGCCTGCGTGTGCTAGTACCGCTTGCCACGAGTTCCCAGAATCCTTTGCGGTTCTACCCGTGAATGACGTCACATTTTCAATCTCTATATAATATGCATGTTAAATTTTATATTTGGGGTAAAATATCAAGTCTTTTCAAGTAAACCGGTTCAAGTCCAATTCAAGTCCCAAGTCATTGGTGTAAAAGTCCAAGTCAAGTCACAAGTCTTAGAACATTTTTTCAAGTCAAGTCTAAAGTCATAAAATTAATGACTCGAGTCTGACTCGAGTCCAAGTCATGTGACTCGAGTCCACACCTCTGGTTTTATCTATTATGCTTGTATTACAACATGCCTAGAAATGGTTACAAAGCCATTTCTAAGGCTTTGGGACTCACTGAACCACAGTGATAGCCATTATCCACGAGATTTCCAAGGTACCCTGACCTAGTGCAACAATGGCAAATAAAAGAGTTTATCTTTAGATTCAAGTGTGACCAATATACAAAAAACCTTAGAAATCAGGAAGGGGACAAACACTTTTTCATGGCACATCTCCGGATTGACATAAAAGTAGGAATTGGAGCAGATGTACCTTGCACGGCTCCTTTAACCACAGAGATAAACCCTTTCCACAGGTCATCTGGGTCCATCTCCACATGTCCTACCTCTGGATAGAGGAGCACAACCTGGGGAAAGATCAAGTTTGTGTGGATGCTGCATTTAATTTACCAAGTAGGTGGTTTATGTGAGGAATTAAAAAGGCAGAACAGATGAATACCTTTGTAGAGCATGATCCTCGGATCTTTGCCTCCTTGTCATAGACGTGGCATCTGATTGACGTTGTGCCCACGTCCACCGACAAAATGTAGCTTTCCTTCTTGAAACCGTTCCTGTGGCTCCCCATTGTGGGAAAGTGTGTCCTATTTTGTCTCAGTGCTGTCCCACGCCATTTGTGATCAACTCATTGTGGTCTTGTGTACAACCTGAATTGCTCGTTTAATCCGATAGTAGCTTATCTGCACCGGGTTTCGTGTTGGGACTGTAACTCCACCTTTGGACTCGGGTTCCAGTTCAGCCTGTTTGAGTCAACAGATTGCTACAGCATGATTTTCCAGCAGAGCAAACATTCGCATCACAAATTTTTGTAGCTAAAAGTGAAAATGGGTCCAAAGTTTGGCTGGAGCCGAAATGCTTTTCACAAGTTCACCAAACTCAAAAGTTAAGCTAGGGCTAACTGGCTAGAAGACATTTAAATAGTAATTAGCTTCCAAAAACATCCCCAAATCTGTCTAACCGCTTTATTCTAACCTTCTCTGTTTCCGGGATCTACTCCCCTCACCGTGCGGTAGCGCAAACGGTAGTCTAATTATCAGCAAGGAATAACGAAAGTAGTAGTCGTAAAACCGCGTAAACTTACCCGAAAGCGTGTTTCTGTGCGGGCATCCGTAGAGTACATCGTACGCATGCGCAGTACTCAAGTCCGGTAGCATGTGGATGTTTTCATCCTAGCACGCGTGTATGGTTCTGACTGACGCTACAATTGTTTCAGCCTGTGATTTTGTGCTATTTAAAGGTTTAATATGGCAAAAACAGACGTAAGAGTTATACCGCATTTGTGCAACTTACACAAACAGGCTTTGATGTGATAATAATGCATTGTGTTAAGCGTTTATATCACGTTGTTTTTTGGGGTCAGTGCGAACTCAGGAGCTAGCAGTCGGTTAACTTGTGAATTATCATAATTAAAATTGTACAAAACATGAGTCTGATTATAGTCGAGTACTCGGATATAATACCGTTATTACATTAGAAAGGCCAGCTATTTAGGGAAGAGTTAATTTTTCTGTCTTTAATGATAAAAATGCTAAAAGTAACACGAACATCTCTGCCGTTAGCACAGTGTTTTGTCAGACATCGCAAAGGAATTTACAGACTTCAAGTTGGGTTTTTGGTAAACGTAAATGGTAAATCGTTCACTGAAACTGTTGTGTTTGTTTCAGGCTACGAGACGGAGAAAAAAACAGAGCAAAGTTGTACAAGAGGACACAGCTGACACTGGCAAGTAAATCCCTATTAATATGTAGAAATTCACAGTAAACATAACTGTTTGAGCTGAATAATGTTAGTAACTATAAGTCCTTCAATCTTTATGATCTCAGCGGACACTTTATAAGGTACAACTGGCGTATAGTTTTGCCTGCACAACTAACTTACTGTTTTGTGGCACAGATCCAACAAGGCGATAGATACATTGCTCAGAGATTTTAGTCCATATTGATATGACAGCATCACGCAGTTGCTGCAGATTTGTTAGTTGCACAGTTGATGTGAATCTCCTGTTCTACAACATCCCAAAGATGCTCTTTTGGATTGAGAACTGGTGACTGTGGAGGCCATTTGGGGAGTGCAATGAAATTACTGTCATGTTTAAGAAAGCAGTTTGAGATGATTTGAGTTTTGTGACATGGTTTGTTATGCTGCTGACAGCAGCCATCAAAAGATGGATACACTGTGGTCATAAAGAGATGGACATGACCAGAACAATATTCAAGTAGGCTGTGGTGTTTAAACAGTCCTCTGGTACTGGTACCAAAGTGTGCCAAGAAATTATCCCCAACAACATTAAACTACCACCCGCAGCCGGAAATTGTTGATACAAGGGAGGATGGAGCCATGCTTTCATGTTGTTTATGTCAAACTCCGTCCTTTCCACCTAACTGTTGCTGCAGAAATAGAGATTCATCAGACCAGGCAATGTTTTTCTTACTTCTATTTTTCATTTTTGGTGAGCTTGTAGCCTCAGTTTCCTGTTGTTAGCTGACAGGAGTGATACCCAGTGTGGTCTTCTGCTGTTGTAGTCCATCTGCTCCAAGTGTCAAGATGTTGTGCTTTCAGAGGTGCTCGTCGGCATTTTCCTGGTTATAACAACTGACTATTTGTGTTAATGTTGCCATCTTATTATCTTAAATCAGTCTGGCCATTTTCCTCTGACCTCTGACCCCAACAAGGAATTTTGACGCAGAGAACTGCCGCCTACAGATATTTTCTTTTTCAGACCATTTTCTGTAATCATAGTGATGATTATGTGGGAAATTAATAATTAATCAGCAGTTTCCACTCAGATCCACCCATCTGGCATGAGCAATCATGCGACATTCAAAGTCACTTAAACTCCAAGTTAAGATGACTTTACGTTTCCCAATTCTGGTGCTCGGTTTGAATTTGAGGGGCGATCGTGGCTCAAGAGTTGGGAGTTCGCCTTGTAATCGGAAGGTTGCCGGTTTGAGCCCCGGCTTGGACAGTCTCGGTCGTTGTGTCCTTGGGCAAGACACTTCACCCATTGCCTACTGGTGGTGGTCAGAGGGCCCGGTGGCACCAGTGTCCGGCAGCCTCGCCTCTGTCAGTGTGCCCCAGGGTGGCTGTGGCTACAATGTAGCTGCCATCACCAGTGTGTGAATGTGTGTGTGGATGGTTCAAGGTTCAAGGTTCTTTATTTGTCACATGCATAGTTATACAAGTATAACACACAGTGAAATGTAACCGGAGCGGAGCGGTCAGGAAGGCGTCTGGACGTGGCCGCGCCATCTTGTTATCATGGGTGGATGACTGGATATTGTTACGGATTCAATATATTGGGGATGGATACAAGAGGAAAAGCCAAAAGAACAACACTGGTCCAGCCGGGTTGAGTCAAACGATGATTTTAATGATCACACGCGTGGGAGATGGACACCGTACGCAGACAGCATCAGATCTCAAAATGGTGGAGCATTGATCAAACTCTTATAGCCTCTAGTGGCCCCCACCTAATCATAAAAGCCTAAACATTCACATTCTTTCTCTCACACAGCGCCTAAGCTACGACCTTGGCTCCCTGTTTATCTGCTCCTGCTGAGATGGGGCAGAAAACTCCAGTATGTTCTGTTCTCTTCTAATCAGACAAATAAGGCGATGACTTTCTGCGAACAGTATTTCTTATAACTCAGCAGTATAATGCATCATAAAACAATATCATTCATTCACAATAAATCAGCAGTCTAATGTAATGCAAATCAGTTTAACAAATGCAATAGTTATCACCTTCTTCTAATTCAGGAGAATAATGCAAACTAAAACTACATAATAATTCACAATCTTTAATTAGGGGTCTAACATGGCATAAAATAATATTATAATCCCACAATATGTAAAGCGCTTTGGGGTCCTTAGGGACTAGTAAAGCGCTATATAAATACAGGCCATTTACCATTTCAGCAGGACATCTGGATCATGTCCACCTGCCTAAATTCAACAGCGGTGCTGCCATGTAATATTTGATTAGATATTTAGTGGACAGTTGGGCAGGTGTACCCACTGAGGTGGCCGGTGAGTTACTGTCACACAGGGTGTCTGCACTTGAGCTGTGTGAGTAATTAAAATATCTTTTCAGATCGTCAGACGGACACTGTGATAAAAGTTAAAGGAAATGCCCCCACAGTAACTGTATCCTGGAAGAAGAAGAATGAGGAAGGAGAGGATGATGACACACAAACGACACTTGATGCAAGCGATCAGATGACTGCCGAAAAGATGACTGGTTGTGGTAAGGATGTTCACTGGATGTTACTGCTGCATGACCAAAATCTTTCAATATCCTTTCTCCTCTGAAGTGTGCATGTGTAATAATATAAAATAATAAAGTCTATCTGTTGCATTTCATACAAGATTTTTAGAGCGCTGCTTCCGATATGAAACACGAACCCCTTCCACTGATGTCACAAAAGATCCAGTCACAACAGTTAATTTACAGCATCTTTAAATGATGGCAGGTCTGCTTTTACTAGATGAAGAGACCCCAATCGACCCCAGCCTTTGTCAAAGTATTTTCAAAGACATAAATATTATTCTTCAAATGATAAAAGCTATTGCATGCTATAAAATTGTGATAACAGGCGTTTAAGACCAAACCCTCCAGAGACCATGAAGCCTTAGCTGGCAGAAGTAGTTGTGTTTTATTGGCTGTGGCTCAGGAGGTAAAGCGGGTCGTCTGCTAATCATAAAGTTGGCGGTTCACTGCCTGCCTCCTCTGGTTTTCATGTCGGAAGTGTCCTTGGGTTGGATACTGAACCCTAAGTAGCCCACACTGCATCCATTCACCCAGTAACCGTGTGTGTGTTACTGGGTGAATGAGGCTTTTGGTAAAAAATGTTCTTAGAGTGCAGTTAAAGTAGAAAAGTCCATTTAACATCTGTAATACTTTCTGTCCTGTGCAGTAAATGGGAAAGAAAAAGCAGTTAAGAATCGCCCATCCAAGAAATCTAAGGTGAACAACGATGGTGAGGACTCATCTTTATCTTGTACATTACCTCGTATTCCTGGAGAGGCTTCGCCTTCACATGTTTCATCCCTTTATTCTTCTTTAGGATTTCGTATTTGTGTTGGCAACCTGAACAAAACTAAAACCTATCAAGAAGTCAACGTGTCACTAGAAAAATACTTCATGTCGCAAAGCCTTCTGTTTCAAGACATTCAATTAGCCCAATCCAGGTGAGTGTTTCTGTTTGTTTCTTTGTTTATGTGATTTGTTTTTTTCATGTTAAGTCCTCTAAAAGGTGTGATGAAAAACCTCTTTGCCTGTGAAAGCAACAAATGTGCCTGATCTGAATTTAACGGTCTTCTCCTGCACTGTGGGACAAATTCCAGTGTTATTTTTAGGTTGCTGTGAAAGTCCTGTGTGACTTCTTGGAAACGTATTTGCATTCTCAAAACTGACCTAAAATTTGCACAATATTCATCTTTTGTGTTAACGTAACTTAACAGTTTTGCTGACGGTCATTGCTCATAAAGGGAGCCGACTTTTTGGTTAAATCACAAAGACAAAAATGTTCAGCATGTAGCTGCTGTGTTAAATCTAAGCTGTAAGTTCATGGATAAGGAGAAAGGCGGTTCGTCCTGAGCTGTGTCAAGGAGAGCGGTGATGATCAGTGAGCAGCAGTATGGCTTCATGCTGAGAAAGAGCACTACAGATGTGGTGTTTGCTTTGACAGGCTGACAGTTGAGAGTGCATTATAACTTGTCAGGTTAACAAGTTGCATATTTAACACTTCATAAAAGCCCCCAAAAATTAGCAATGTGGAAAATGAAAGTATGCACAAGAAAAACATCAAAACCTTTTCTTTGCCCCTCCTAAAAAATATTTTCTGTGTTTTGTAAATTTTGCTGCTAGATGAAATAACTGATATGAATGTGTGCTGTTGTAGGAAACATGCTTTTCTAGATTTGGCCACCGAAATGGACTTGACGAAAGCGTTGGCGTTAAATGGAGAGATCCTTCTCGATAAGCCAATGAAAATCACCAAAGTAAAGATCACAAGTGAGGACAAGGCGAAGGTGAACGCACGCTCACTGGACAAAAAAGGTAAAATAGTACTGTTAATTGATATCAGACATGACGTTTCAGACATGAGTTTTTCATGGTTGTTTATTCTTAAATAATCTTCATTTGGTTCTTATTTAGTTTATTTA